CTCCCAGCTTACCCATAGTGATAGTTGAAGTTATCACAGGCTGTTTAAAAAGTGGAAATCTATGGAGAAACAGGAAATGTGTTTTATTGGGTTGTTCAACTGGAAAATTGTGGGTAAAGTCAGACAGAAATGGTTCTGAAAAAAATGTAAACTTTCTTTCATGATCAAATCCCCAGAACTAAATCCCATAGAAAACCTGTAATAAGCTTCTTATGGAAATGATTCAGGACTCTGAACAATGTAGAGAGGAATGAAAAAGGATCCTTTTACCCATGCGACCAGCTGTCCCATCAGCAGAGGGGAAAGTCTTGCCAGTATGGGTAATGAATTAATTAATCTTACTCAGACTGAAGGGTTTCCTTTATGAATACTTTGCACATCCAAACCAGGCTGAGGTCTACAGACACTCTAACCTTTGCTTTTCCTCATCTCTCCTGGCCAGCAGATTAGGCTGCCTCTACCTCTACATCCTGGGTTCACAGGTAACATATCTGCTTTACCCTGAGGATAACTAAGACATTATCTATGGTGTCATGTCAGATGATAACAGTTATGTTTAACCATTTAAAGGTCTCTCTATTAAAGGTTTTTAAGACCCTGGAACCCAATTACCCAGGTTTTTGTTTCCAGAAAACATGAAATAGACTCAGAGCCACTTCAGAAAGAGCAACATTTGAAATATACATCTTATGCATTCTCAATTTAAAAGATAAATTCATATTAAGAATGTCAACTTACTTTATTATTTAGTGGGGCAAAGTAAATAATCTCACTGCAAATATTTAATTATGTGTATTTTCCTTGGATTTAAGGAGGTAAGAAAATTTGCAATTGGAATAAAATTATTTATGTTGAAAAAAAAAGAAAAAAGACACAACCCACCAGCATTTGTATGGCAAACAATCTAATAACTTATTATCTATTTTTTACGGGAAAAATACTATTTCCATTGTTAAATTCTCTCATTCACTTGCTTAATATAAGAAGGATTTTAAAACTTATTTTCAGATCAGTTGTTGTAGTTTATGCAGTTGCTTGTTTAAGGTCAGCTAGGGCTGGGCCTAAGATGTTTTGAACATAAGAGGTTTCCTTCTTTTCATACTGATGATTTTGTCGCCTGCCAGGGAAACCTTGTCACTGACACTCCACTGTCTCTGGTGACGACAGTCAGCAGTAATGGTCACAGCAGGGGAGGAAGGAAACTGCTTTTTTAATTAGAGCCAGGGGAATAAATCCTTCCTTTTCTCCAACATTTATTTGTTGTTAAGCTCTAAATATATTTAAATATCTTCATACATCTCACGGATAATACTTCATCTTATTTGACAATCAATAAACAACTAAATTTAAAATATTTTGTGTCTCTTCATATACATGATAAAGAACACATTTACAAATGGTTTACTAGCGCCACCCTGTGGTTGTTTCTTTTCACTATTTTAGCCTTTTCCTGATGTAGAATTAGTTAGAAAGTAGGTTATGTGATGACAGTTCATTCCCTTGTTTTGGAAAAGAGATCATTCGGGACAACCTCTTTAAATAAAACTTCATAATATATATATATATTAAATAACCATGAGACATGACAACAGATTTTGATAGAAATTGTAATCTTGCTCAGATCAGAGAAGCTGCTTAGAGAAGCTGCTTACCAACGGGGCTAACCTCTCATTAAAGTGGCCCCGATTCACAGTTGTAGAAGCATTTTATACATTTCCAGTCTGCTGCATCATCACATCATTACATCATACACGTTTGGAGTGAGGAGACATCCATGGCTCCAGCTATATTAAAATATTACACTATGTTATTAGATGAAGGACACTGCTCTCATTCCATCCCCAAATCTTTGCCACGTAATGAAGATGATAGCTATAGTTGAATATAGGAACTGTCCTAATTAAATAAACTACTTGGTAAAACATTAGCTCTCACAAACAACTGGCAGGTATTATAAGGGTTTAACAGACTCACACATCATCATTAAGGATAATCCCAACAACCTGTGCTAAGGGAAATGCATTTGGATAGTTTATCTATTGCAAATCTGGACACTTCTTCACAATTCATTCACTCTCCAACAGAGAGAGTATACAGTATCTACACTCACCGGCCAGGTACCCCATGCTAGTAACGGGTTGGACCCCCTTTTGCCTTCAGAACTGCCTCAATTCTTGGTGGCATAGATTCAACAAGGTGCTGGAAGCATTCCTCAGGGAGTTTGGTCCATATTGACATCACACAGTTGCCGCAGATTTGTCGGCTGCACTTCCATGATGCGAATCTCCCGTTCCACCACATCCCAAAGATG